TCTTCCTGTCTCATGTTTGTTTGGAAGAAAGCACTAGAAGTGCTTACCATATGCATGCAGTGTCTATTGGCCATTGATTCATTAAACTTTGCTTTTTAATGAGAGCACAGGTGCTTTTGTTGACCACTTCCCCTTCTACAGCAAAGCATCATGGAAGTTGTAGTTCTGTATGAGCTTAGGATCTACCCTTGGCTGTCCCTGTTAAAGGCTGTTTGATTATGTACTATGTTGTATGGTATATTGAGGTCTGTAAAAGTGGCATTTCACACTTTATTATTCCCACTTGGCATTTATTTTTCACACCTGCCTTTGTCAAACTTTAGACTACAGTTAAAATCATTTCTAACTGTATTCTGTGTGGATTGACACTTGTAGTAAGCTTACATTAAAGCATCCACTAGAGGGAGACAAAACATCAGTTTTCCAATCTGGTTTAAACAAGTGCAGCATACCATGAGATTTTGTGGGTTCAATTAATTTTTTTCCCACCTCAGTGCTTACATGTTAGTTTCATCGTGGTGGCTTAATCTGCCAAAAACTCCTGCCATTTTTTTTATTACTGGAATTTATAAAATGCCAGTATATTCGGCAGCACTGTACAATTGAGGGAGAAGGTACAACATGCACAGACAAATACAAAAGGGCCCTGCTGTTAAGCTGAGATCTAGCCATTGAAGCTTATAGGGTGCTTAGCTAGGTAGCACATAAACTTGTAATATAAAGGATATAGTGTGTTTTACTTGTGTTTGTGACTTGCTTGTATTTGCATTTCAAAGACTCTATCCAGGTTAAGGACTTTCTATATTTCTTTGCCCGGGTCAAGTGACAAAACAGCATTAAACTTTGTGGCCTGCATTTCCTTGATGCTACTAGTATCTCTACCTCATGCTGTGAAATTTTACTGGTGTTAAGTTGTAAGCCATGTTAAACTTAAAAGGACACCGTAAGCACCCAGACCACTTAAACTCAATGATATCTGTATTCCAAATGCTATGTGTTCCTTAAGTTATCATATCTCTGATAGAGGATTACCCATATTTCTGATCTATTTTGGACAATTGTAAACATGAGTGCAGTTTGGTTTTGCTTTTAGCATGCTGCAAATGTCATGCACTCACATGATGAGAGTCAGGAAATAGGAAGTGCCGTCTGATGCGATAACTGACGATGTTTCCTGCTCTGAGAGTTGCATGTCTAAAACTGGGATGCTGTCTTTCAAAAATGTTGCAGACTAGATCTTTCTTAAATTTTTTTTTTTTTTGTTAAAAGGGTCTATGATCTTCTGTTTATGGGTGACAGATGAGCTACTTGCAATGACAATAACCAGGTAAGTGTAACCTGTTGGTAAATACTCTAACCCCCTTCCCCTAAAAAAGCCAATGATGTCTTGTTATCCCTGTCTGAAAACTCAACTATGAGGGACATCTTGTTTTACTGAGGCTTTAATATATTCTCTCCACCTTATTCTATATTTTGGTACCAAACTAACTTTAAGGAACATTCCAATGCAGCCCACTGTAGTATAGTGCCTGCGGCACCCTCCCAATGTAGTTTAAACATTTTTAGAATGGTTTGACAACTTGCAGACTAACTGCTATGGAGCTTAGTGTTCTTTTAAAGGTGAACTATTACCTTCTCTGAAAATTAAACCATTCAATAAAATATCACTTATAACATGTCTCCCACCACCCCTGTGACAAGAATTTTTAATAGCTCCAAGAAAAGATATATGCTATCTTACATAAGGCTAAGCTGGGGGCAAACATTGTAAATGGACATTGTTTAAGTTCTCCTCCTGTGTTTTTGGATTACCTTTTTTTTTTTTTTTTGCAGATCCTTGAACTTCTCTGCACGAAGTGTGTGTGCCATGGAGACACTGAGTTCCAAGATAATTTCAAATATATCTTTAAAATATTACAAAAATAAACTTTATTTTTAGAACAAAAAGCCTACTCTTTATTCACTATAGTATTGTCTCAGTCTCAATGAATTCATATCAAGAAGCTTTGGGTGGTAAATATAGCCTCCAGTGTGTAGTAAGTGGCACGAGTGCTGGTATTTAAATTGTGCACAGCTTGTCAAATGCTCCTTCAGCAACTGTGCCAGGGGCAGTATCTGTGCAGAGCAAGCTGCCAGCTTGACATGAGATACTGGATCTAAAAGAGCACGTGGCAGTTTTGAAGGACATTGATCACCAGTAAAGGAGACTGCTGTTCATTAAACCAGGCAGTGGGGGCTGATATAACTGCTAGCTTTATAAGGCAGAATGCCATCTCTTGGTTTTTTTTTTAGATGATCTGTTTACCGGCACTTAAGAAATCCATATCAAATCATGTTGGTCTTTGAGCTATATGAAACTTTCAATAACTGTCATATTTCAGTGACTGTAGACTTTAAGTTAATTTTATGTTTAGATAAAAAAATTTAAATCCTGATTTAGAATTGTCTGTAAACCTACTCTCTTTGCTGGGACAGACTACTCACAGCGGCCAATCCTTCTCTAGCAATATGAATTATGACTTTTGAGGACACATGGTGCAATTGCAGCAGCTGCTTCAGTGCGTCTAAAAGCAAAGCATTGACTCCAGTTCTTCAAGAATGCAGCCAACACTTCAGTCACTATGTTGCTAAATGTGAAAGGTTTGGCAAATTGCAAGGGTCACTAGTCACCAAAACAATTTGAGATTAAAAATAAAATGTTGGTGTCTAGATGCAATTTTTGCTCAATTCCCTGCCACTTAGGTGTTTATGCAGCCCTAGTCACATCTCCCTGCATGTCTTACACAGCCTTCCTAAACACTTGCTGTAAAGTCATCCAATGTTTACTCTTCCTCAGGCATGTCTACACAAACTGCTTCATTAAAGGGACACCATAGTCACCAGAGCTGCTACAGCATAATGTAGTTCTGGTAAATTGTAATCATTGCCTTCAGGCATTTTCAAGCAAACAAGGCAGTGTTTACATTGTCCCTAGGTACACCTCCAAGTGGCCACTCAGATGGCTACTGGAAGTGCTGCCATTCAGTGTCTCCACGCTCCACACCGGGATGCTGAATTTTCCTCAGATGCATCTCTGAGGAGGTGCTGATTAGCCAAAACAGTGTCTTGCCCTGCCCATGCTGATTTCAGCCAATCCCCATAGGGAAAGCATTGGATTGGCTCAAAATCTGCAACACTGATGGCACCTTGGAAATAAGGTTTTAATTGCTTTTGTGGGGGGGGGGCAAGCCAACTTAATGGTGGGGGTTTAGCACTAGGGTCAGGAATACATGGTTGTGTTCCAAACCCTATAGTGTTTAAACTAAAGTTGTTTTGATAACTAGTGACCCTGTAAGGGTATAAGAATTGTCCAATTGAAAGCCTCTAGAGCAGTGGTCCCCAAACCTTTTCACTTGAGTACCCCTTGGCAGCCAATTTCCATAGATTGTACCCTTCACATTAGCAAAATGTAATTAATATAGTTGAATTTATTTTAAATCTATACTTTTTTTCCTCTGCCTCACTCTTCCTGCTTCTCTGCCCTGATACAGACACTGACACAGATATGGGCACTAACACACTTAAGGATACAGACACTGACGAGCGCACACATACATATACACATATGCTCTCCCATGCTGCTCCTGGCTGAAATATTCCAGGTACAGGACAAAGTTCCTAGTCGCCATGGTGACCTGTTGAGTCCTAAGACACGTACACTGGCATACAGATACATACACTGACACATAGATACACAAATCCTACTTTTTGGCTGACTGGGTCTGGTGGGAGTTGGCATCCTGCTGCTCTCCTGGTCCACTATGCCTCACCAGCCCCCTCTTCCTTGCGGCATGCAGGAAGTGGTTACAAGCTTTTACTTACTCCAATTGAATGAATTGTACCCGTTGGGGTACGCAGGTTGAAACCGCTGCTCTAGAGGTGTATTTGCCAAAATCAAAACTTACTTTTTATATTGGATTTTAAATATCCGATAAGGGGGACAGCATCTACATACTAAAACCACTCCCTTAAAGGGAGACTGATAAGCTCAAAGACCACTCCATGCCATGCCTCCCCATCATTTTAACATGTAGCTGAAACAGCTGCTCTGTGGAAATGGCAGTGTTGGAGACAATACAGTGCTACGTGATGTTTTGCGGCATGTGCATTATCCCCAAGCTGTGTTTGTTTTTTGTTTGGAAAGCATTGGATTGGCTGAGATATCTATTTAAAAATTATCTCAACCAAAGAGGTGGGACCAACTGTTATGACTAATGCTGCAAGGGAGAAAAATCTAATTTAAATAATCCCCATGTACGTGGGGTTGCGAACCAAACAGCCACCAAGGCACTATAGTGTTTGGATTACATGTTTAGTAGTCCTAAAGCTCAATTGTTTGTGGGTTTTTTTTTTTTGGTAGACTGTCCTGTTCAGTTTTTTTGAGTTCTGGGGAAGAAAGCTTCAGTAAGTGGGTACAGAATTAAAGTTTCCAAAGTTAGTCCACCAGTTGAACGCTTGTTTTTTTTGGCTTATTTTTTCTTTTTCTTTCAGCTTGCTATAGTTCTACAGATGGCTCGAGGTCGTTCTTCCTAGTCTGAACAAAAGTCTTGTGTGCTGCTTACCTTTATGTTTTGCTACATACCAGCTAAAGCTTCGAGGGTGATCAAAGCTAAACTAGCCCCAGGACAACTTCTGAAATAAACATTCCATCTTAGAATGGTCACAAACAAGGGCATTGTTTTTAGGGCTGCAAAAGCCAAAGTGTGTTGACTCATAAATAAAGTGAAATGAGCATTGACAGCCAGGATCTATTCACCAAGACTAGCTCCATTAAAGTTTTGCTCTGGACTATCCCTTAAATTTTATTTCTGCCAGTTACAGTGAGGGTTGATGTCGTTTTTTGACTGCTTTATTAGTAGATCTGCATCCACATGCAGGCTAGTAAGTGTGTTTAATAAACTATTACACCTATTCTCTAGCCAAGCATCTGGCAAGTTGTGAATAGATAATAGTGGCTTTTAAAATTTGTTGATAAATGGCATACCACAAAGTGGGTTGTAAGAAGCTTAAAAAGCTGAATTTAGTATTGATGGCAGCCAAGGAAAATTTTTGGAATGAAAACAATGACGGTCATGCACCATGGGAGGTAAAGAAACTATATTTAAATGACCACTATAGGCATCCAGACCACTTCAGCTCAATGAAGTGGTCTGGGCGCCAAGTCCCCCTAGTTTTAAGCCTGCAGCTCTAAATATAGCAGTTTCAGAGAAACTGATCTGTTTACACTAGGGTTAATCCAGCCTCTAGTGGCTGTCTCACTGACAGCCGCTAGAGGCGCTTCCTCAATCCATTGAGGACACGCTGGACGTCCATAGGAAAGCATTGAGTAACGCTTTCCTATGGGCGGTTTGAATGCGCGCACGGGGCCCTGGATTAAGGTAAATGGCTGAAGGTTTTAATCTTCAGCCCAGCGCAGGGGACACAGCTAATAACCCTATACTGCCAGGAAAACTAGTTTGTTTTCATGGCACTATAGTGCTCCTTTAAAGTTGACAAGCGTGAAATTATTTAAATGGCTCCTATAGCTGTACAAAGCTGTAATCCTGATATCACTTTCCTCTCCTCTGCGTTAAAGGGCTAAAAAAAAAACCCCCAAAAAACTTTTATTTACTTTATCCCCTTTTCGATGTCCCTCATACAGAGTGTGAGGACGTCCAGCATCAGATACCGGACCGAAGGTCCGTTGCGATCAATGTGGGAGACAGCCACTGGAGGCAGATTTAGTGCTGCAATGTAAACATTGCCATTTCCCTGAAATGGCAATGTTTACATTGCAGCACTAAGTGCAAAAAGGACACTGCACCTAGACCACTTCAATTAGCTGAAGTGGTCTGGGTTCCTATAGTGTTCCTTTAACACCTCGAAAGAGGCAGCATTTTATAGCCTTTTATTTGTAGATGTCAGTGGGAAGAAAGCTATGAGTGGTTACATTCGTGGAGTTCTTTACTTAACATTCGATGTTATGTAAATGAACCAAATCCAGTGAAAATAAGACTTTTTATGTCAATTCTCATATTTTACTAAATAGTGCAAAAAATTGGGATCCAGCGTATATTTTCAAAACATATAAATAAGACACTTTTGGTCGCACTCACAAATTCCATGTAATATAGCCTTGAAATGCTTCTTCAGAGGTGGTAAGGGGTGTAGCTCCCTCCTGGCTATTGATGTGGGAACTTGTGCTCTGGAAACCTGGCTCAGGAACCGCAGTTGTTAAATATCCGAAGATTTGTGCAAAGTTACAAAACTGCTTTACTTGCATGTATAAAGTTTAAAAAATAACATGCTGAAATCAGTTCTACGCGTTTTCATTCTCTAGCGAGAACTTCCTCAGGGACCAGCAAATAAAATCTACAATAAGGTACAGTGCAAATGCCAAAGACATAGGTGCACTTAGTGAGAACCCCTTAAATTACGGTGAAATACACATCACGCTTTCTAGGTTTTATTTTGGTTTGGAAGTTAGGCTACTGATCTTAATGAGCTTTATAATAGAATCCTAAAGGTCCCCCCCTCCGGTGTGGGTGGAGTGGTTAAAACCCCTTTAGTCACTTACCTGAATCCAGCACTGATGACCCTCGATGCTGAGTCAGGCTCCACCTACGCTCACCCACTGCCGGCAGGGGAGATCTAATGTGCTTGCATTAATATCTCCCCATAGGAGGTAGTCGTGCAGAGTTTGAGGACGTCCAGCATCAGATAACGGACCAAAGGTCCGTTTGGATTCCGGAAGTCCCTCTAGTGGCTGTCTGGTAGACAACCACTAGAGGAGGAGTTAATCTTTAGAGGTAATTATTGCAGTTTCTCAAATTAGCTGAAGTGGCCTGGGTGCCTACAGTGTCCCTTTAAGTCACATGGCATACATGCACAATTGTGGATATTCAGCCGAGTAACCCTTCCATCCAAGGCCCACTTTCGAATCTTCCTGTCTTCTATGGATGGGGGATATGGATATGTATTATTAACCAGACTTTGGTAACTCTTAGAACAGACCGTCACAAAAGAGCACGAAAAAAAGCATTCTATGCCATTGTCCATTGCCTCTGCCCCAGAAATCCATAGAACATTATATTTGCAAAATAAGTATATTTGTTGCACCCTGCACTTTTAGTTGTTCCTCATTTAACAAATTTTCCTTGGAGGTTGTTATTGCATGCTTCTTTATGTTGGTGGTGAGCAATGCAGAGATTGTTGTATTCCGTGGCAGTGAAAGGGTTACTGCGGTATTCGTGTGAGGGTTACGTGGTCCGTGCGTCACTGTAAACAGAAAATTTCCAGATAACGTGAGACCATAGCAAATGCGGTTTTGATTGGGCCGTGCATTGTAAGTTTCTTTAGTCATGGTCGGATGAAGCTCATATTGTCATCTGTTTGTACTCCATTGTCACCTGATATCTCTTGTCTGTAGGTTTGTTTTTGTATATTTATTACAGAGGAACGTCACTTTGCATGACCTCTGAGCCTAAACTACTCATAGGATCCAGAATGACAACCCGATGTGTCCTGTGAATGATGGCACTTTTCCCATCTCCATGTGGCATGCCCTCCCCTGCTCTGTTAGCTCACACCTGACTTGAGGCACTAATTAGGTTAAGTGGCAGTAGGTCTCAGGTTCCTTTGTATTGTGCCTTTTGCCATCTGTCCTTTGGAACAAGAGGTTGGAGGGGTCATTACCTCTATGACCTTGTCTGGAACCTCATGGATTTGTTCAAACACAGACAGTACTTAAATGGGCTACTCTAGTTCCACCTGCTAATAATTACATCCTAGAAGATGGATGTGACCAGTGTTTGTGCCATCAGAAGATTACATAAGTATTATAGTAGAATGAGGACATAAGTTATTCTTCAAAAAGAAAAAGCACAAAGCTTTAAAACAATTAAGTGTAGTGTAGCTTTGGTAGGCACTAGACACAGATACGAATAAACAGCATCACAATAAACTATAGACCACTATTGAAAGAAACTAGTTTTAGTTTAAATAACGTATAGTTTAGAATTTTTAAGGGGAACAGTCACTTCTCTGAAATTTCCACCATTAAATACAACTTTTTAAGTCGCATTTAACTTGTGTTAACTGTTTTTTTTTGTAATGATTAGTTTGTGTTTTTTTTTGTAATGTATTTAAAAGATTTAAGAAATTACATTGCAAAAGTTCAGCCTGATCACACATTGCAGTGGAGAAAATTTCTTTGGCGATTACATCTTTTACAAATTTGCACTTTCTACACGGTTCTGTAATCAAATAGTCAAACTATGATCTTTGACTTCTTCCCAGCTGTCCAGTCCATTTACTTTTTAGTATTAATATATACTATATATATATATATATTATAATACCTAATATTTAATACTTAATAATAGTAATATTTCCTCTCTTCCTCAGGTCTGAAGCAATTCTGATCCTGAGCTGCAGACCTGAGGAAGAGAGGAAAACTCTCGAAAGCTCGTCTTTGAAATATTATGTTAGTCCAATAAAAAAAGGTATCATTGCCTCCTGCAATACTCTGGTATTTTGGCATCTTGTCTACTGGACTAACACGATGAATCCAATCTACAATGTATATATATATATATATATATATATATATCTATCACCCAGATACCTGCCTTATAGACCGTTAAAAAGGTCAAGGAAGAAATAAAAATAGTTCCTGTATAAATTATCAAACAAAAAACGAAAAAAAAAAGAAGAAGAAAAAAGGGATACAAAGAAGGAAAGAATAAGAGAGAAATAAAGGGAAAAAGAGGAAATACATCCCTCAGTGATCTCCTAAACAGCCATATATAAAAAACTGTGAGTACTTCTGTATTTACTAAAAAATATGACTGTAAGGCATCATACCTGTATATAATTACTGGCTTGGAAAAAAGAAAAGTGGAAGGAAATCTTTTTTTTCCTCGTTGGAGGAGATTGACATCAGGAATCAATTATTTGACCAATTGATTTAATCTAGTTCTTTGAGTTTGGAGTTGAAATTTTATATGTGACATCTAGTTATAATTTGTCACTGAGAAGCATTTAAGAAATAAAACAAAATGTCAACCAGGAAAACAACGGAAAAAAAAAAAAAGAAATTAAGTCAGTTCAACAAACAGAAAAGAGGTTGTCAGGTTTTTTTGCAACTCCTATTAAAGATCCTATTAAAGATCCGCAGGAACAGATAATTGATAGTAAGACACACCCAAGTAATACTTCCAATATTATCCAAGAAGTTGCACTTAATCAATTTCCATCAGAAGCTCAAGCAATTGCTTCAATTAGTATTCAAGATCAATTTAAGCAAACGCTGGAACTACAATTAAATTTATTGAAACAAGAAATGCTTGTAAGTTTCAATGAGATAAAACAAGAAATTAAAAATGTTGCAGTATCAGTGGTGGAAGTGGAAAGAAAATGTGAAGTGTTTGGAACACAAATTAAAGCAATTAATACGGAGGTGCAGTTTCTAGTAAATAAAGTTGATAATCTTGAAAATAAAATAGCAGCTTTGGAAGATAGGTCAAGAAAAAGAAACATCAGAGTAAGAGGTGTTTCTGAAGAAATCTCCAATGAAAAATTGAGAGAATATTTAAACAATTTATTTGAAGAAGTTTTACCAGAAATACCTACAGATGAATATAAAATAGAAAATTTTCACCGGATACATAAACCAGACACAACGGCTTCACATCTCCCAAGAGATGTAATAGTGAGTTTTTCCTCATTATCATTGAGAAATAATTTAATGAAAGCCTGCCGTACCAAACCCCGAACAAATTCTATTTACAAAGACATAATTTTTTTGCAAGACTTATCTTATCACACCAGGACTTGGAGGAAATCTTTCTCTATCGTGACGGATTTTTTAAGAAAAGCAGAGATCAGGTTTCAATGGGCCTATCCAACATCTTTAAGATTTACTTGGAAACAAGAAAGAAAAATTTTTTGGGATGCAAATGAAGCAAATAGTTGGTTATCAGGTATCAATAAAAAAGCTTGAAGGGTCTGTTGCGGCGGAGAGGAAGATGGAAGGAAGAGAGAAGAGAGGAGAAGAGAGAGGAGGGAGAGAGGAAGGAATGAAAGAGGAAGAAAATTAACTTTTTTTTTTTTTTTTCACTCATATAGAATCACTTAATTGTGCTTTGCACAATTTGCTAATTTGTTGATGTTATTGGGGCTTGTTTTCACTTTAAAGCTACTAGTCAATTGAGAATTAAGTATATGCACACAAGCATTTGGAACATAAGGATTTAAAAGCAAATATGTCTAAGTATTGATATTAATTAGATTTGAACTCAACGAGGTGGTTAAAAGAAAATTATTCACATGTATTAGTAAGTTAAGTAGAAACAGATTTATTTAAAGTAAAGAATCACAGAGTAACTGATTTAAGTATAAAATAATGGAAGAAATTTTTTTTTTTTTTTTGTCCTCACTCATGTAGAACTATTTAATTGGGTATATGCATGTAACCATGTGGAACATAAGGACTTAAAAGTAAATATGTCTAAGTATTAATATTAATCAGATTTGTACTTAAAGAGGTGGTTAAAAGAAAATTATTCATAGAGCAATGAAGTTAAGTATAAAATAAGCAAAGAAATGTTTTTTTTTTTTGTTTTTTTTTGTTTGAATAATTAACAGGTTTATTGAAGTAATTGTTGGTTGTTCTCACCTTAAGGGTACTAACTAATTATCTGGAAAAAAGTAGATAAAAGCAAATATGTTTAAGTATTAATTAGTTTTTAATTTAAAGAGGTGGCTAAAAGTAAATTATTCATATGTATTGGTAAGATAAGAGGATATAGATCCACTTAAGACACAGAATTGAAAGTTAATGGAGTTAAGTATAAAAGTTTTTTTTTTTTTTTTCTCTTTCTCTCTCTCTCTCCCTCTTGGAGAGAGATTGCAAACTTGTAAATATTACTACCTCTTTCTGGATACGCCCACTTAGTGTCTAATTTAAAGACACAGTAAAGACTGAATTTCTATATGAAAATTTACAGTCTTTGTGATAAAAAAGGAGGATTTCCTCCTATGATTTTAATATTTTGTTTTATGTGTTTGTGTAGATATGTTTATGCAGCAATAGGGAAGGGTAATGGTTATCGAGTGGAAAGGGATGCAGGGAGGTTTTTGAAAATAATATGATAAAAATGCTTACACTTAATGTTCAGGGATTGAATACTATAGCGAAAAGAAATCTATTGTACAAATACCTCAGTGAAAAACAATTGAATTTAATATTCTTACAAGAAACTCATTGGAGACAAGCGGATAAACAAAATTGGGGGGGTAAAAGATTTCCACTTATAATTCAAGCTTCCAATAAGGAAAAAAAAAAATGTGGAGTAGCTGTGGTATTTGGAGAAAAGATTAAAGTTGAAGTAATTCATCAAATACAAGACACTAAAGGCAGGTATTTAATAATAATATGTAAAATTGACTCTGTACTTTTTACATTATGTAATATATATCTTCCTAATCATTTACCAGTTGCTTATTTAAAAACAATTCTGGAAAAAGTAGATGAAGTTAAAGTGGGAAAGTTAATAGTGGCAGGGGATTTCAATGCTGTACTAGACCCTCAGATAGATAAAAAATTAATGAAAGGAAATACTTTAAATCAGATGGTTATAAAACAAGCAAAAGCCTTAAAAAAAATTAAAGATGAATATAATCTATTCGATATTTGGAGAATTTTTAATCCTAATGAGAGAGACTATACGCATTTTTCTAAAGTGCATTTTTCCTATTCAAGATTAGACATGATTTGGGTCGACCCAAGTATTATTGATATGACCAAAAAAACAAAGATTGACGAGATAGTATGGACAGATCACGATGGAGTTTTTTGTGAAATGATTTTTAGTACATTTAAAAGAGAAGCTTATACTTGGCGGTTAAGAGATAATTTGCTTTGTTGTGAATTAAAAAAAACTCATATAAGAGATAATATAAAAAATTATTTTAAAGAAAATATCTCAGAAAATATTGATTCATCTATTTTGTGGTGTGCCTTTAAGGCCGTTATAAGAGGTCATATTATCAAGTTACAAAGCCAACTTGATAAAAATAATACTTTGGCATTTTTACATACAGAATTAAGAGATTTGACTCATATCAATAAACAATCTCCATCTTCTGAAATTTATGAAAAAATATTAGAACTTAAAGAAAAAATAAAGCAAAAATTAATGGATACGATAGCTAAAAATATGGTTAGATTAAAATTTAAATATTATTCCAAAGGCAATCGAGCTGAAAAGATGCTATCCCAAAAACTTAGAAAACAAAAAGTACAAAATAAGGTAGACAAAATAATTCAGAATGGAAAAATAGCACTAACCCCCAGAGAGATTGGAAAGTGTTTTAATGAATATTATTCCAATCTATACAATATTCCTCAGATTAATACAGATGAGGATATTAAAAACTATTTAAATAATATAAAGAAGCCTCAATTAACTTCTATTGAAAATGATTTTTTAAATAAACCTATAACTATGGAGGAGACTATGAAAGCAATAAATGATTTAGAAAGATCTAAAACACCAGGCCCGGATGGGTTTAGCAACCTATTTTATAAAACATTTAAAGATTTAATATGTCCACATTTGACCTCTGCTTTCAACATAGCGGCAAACAGAGGATTTTTACCAGCAGAGATGCTAAAAGCTAATATCTTGCCTATTCTAAAAAATGATAAAAACCCCACTGATATCAAAAACTACCGTCCGATATCTTTAATAGATGTTGACACTAAGTTATACGCTTCGGTTTTGGCTGCTAGAATAAAAAAACTTCTTCCACTAATCATCCATAAAGATCAAATAGGATATGTTCCAGGTAGAAATTCCTATACAAGTATAAGGAAAATTATTAATATCTTGGATGACGCAAATAGATATGATGTTCCAGTTCTGACTCTGTCGATTGATGCTGAAAAAGCATTCGACAGAGTCAGCTGGAAATATTTAGAAGCCGTTTTACAACATTATGGATTGGAAGGTTGGATTAAGAAAGCTATAATGGCACTATATGTAAATCCTGTTGCACGAACTATTGGACCTAATATAGTCGCCCCATGGTTCCAACTTAGAAATGGTACCCGACAGGGTTGTCCCCTCTCACCATTGCTCTACTTGCTGACTATTGAGCCATTGGCTGAGAATATTAGGAATAATAAAGAGATCCATGGTTATAAAATAATGGATGAGGATCAAAAAATTAGCTTATATGCTGATGACATTTTAATTACTCTTACAAACCCTAAAAATTCTTTGGAACGCATAATGCAAGAAATAGAGCGATATAGCTTTATATCAAATTATAAGTTAAATATAAATAAATCCTTGATATTAGATGTTAACCTAAATAAAAGGACACAACGAGAGATTAAAAACAAATATGATTTTATTTGGGTTAAAGAAAGTATGGACTACTTAGGAATTAAAATAACCAGAGAGACAAATAAGATTATGGAAGTAAATTTCCTAACATTATTATTAGATCTCAATAAATGGTTAAAAGATCGCAGAAACCTAGAGATTACTTTTTTGGGGCGAATAAACGTTATCAATTCATATGTTATACCAAAGTGGAATTATATGTTTCAAATGTTACCTCTCCATATCCCAATCCATTGGCTTCAATTAATACAAAGAAGTTTTACTCAATACATCTGGAAAGGCAAGAAGCCGAGATTGAAACAGTCAATATTAGCGCAGAAAATATATAAAGGTGGACTTGATTATCCACTCATAATGAATAACTTTAAAGCAGCTATTACCCTATATGTCTATAGAATGCAAATGAAAGAAAATAAAGATGAGGGATGGTATAAAATGGAATTGAAGGCAGGAGAAGTTTCTAGCTTAGATTGTTTAATTTGGAATATAAATAAAATGCCAAAGAAAAAAGAATATGCCAGTATTATTCTAACTCAATTATTGGAAAATTGGTTAAAAATTAAAAAAGTAATGAATATAGAAAAAAAAGTTCCAAGTTATTTAGAGTTAGATATTGTAGAAAAACAAGTGGAAGACTTAAACTTAAATAATTGGAAAAAAGTAGGGATAACGACTCTGGACCAATTATTGACAGAAGGATTAATTAAAACCTTTGCTCAAATAACAGAGATACACAATCTCCCTCCTAGAGAGGTGTTTAATTTTTTAAGACTTAAAAGCTATATTAATACACATCTAATAATACCAAAATCTAATTTAAGCAATTCGATAGATTTATTATTTACATCAAAAAAAAGTTAATAAACCACTTTCTAAAGCTCTAATACTAATTAAATCAATAGCTAAAGACACAAATCCTACTGCCATACAGGCTTGGAAACAAGACTTGAATATCGATATAAATCTGAATCAATGGGGTTCTTCAATGATGGATGTTAAGAAGAATATACATTCATTAAATTTATTAGAAACACACTATAAAGTTTTAAATAGGTGGTACTTAGTACCAACTAAATTGAATAAAATTTACCCTCTAGTAAATCCTATCTGTTGGAGATGTAATAGTATTAGAGGCAATTTTAGACATATTTGGTGGGATTGCTATAAATTAAAAAATCTCTGGTTGAAAATGCAGCATTTTATATCTAATAATTTAAAACTCGAGTTGATTATCTCTCCAGAGGTAGTTCTACTTCATCTAAATTGGCCTCATATGACATATGAATTAAAAGCAATTCTTATACATCTGTTTTTAGCGGCTAAAATAGTAATTGCGAGATGGTGGAAAAGGGATTCAGAAGTCCCCTGGAAGAAAGTTAAAACTCAACTCGAGTTTCAGATTAGAATGGAGCTGATGCTAAGTAAACAAAGATTAAGCAATAGGATTTCTGTTTGGTTAAAGTGTATTGAGATGATTGATGTATAAAATAGTGTCGTTCAATTAGAAGTAGAACAATTCCATGAACATTGTAAATAATTATGAGATTTATCTAAATGATATTACCACTCTATTATGGAAGTCTTTCTG